ACCCACATGAAAACCTTCTTAATCGAATGGAATGAAGGTTCAATGGTGAGAAACCCTATATCCAATGCTCCCTGATTGTTGTATTGACGAGGTGAAGCATTCCAAAAATCTTTTATTCTCCATGTACTTTAATGAATGCTCAACCATTGAAGCATAACACACACTCTAGAACCATTACTTGTGTAGCACAAGAATGAAAACAAACACTAACTCTCTTTGAGAAAATTTTTATAATCATTTTATAAAGATGGTAAAATGAGTATTTAAAAGATTTATGATGAAGGAATGCATTGAATCAATTAAATTCGAATTAATTAAATTTTTGTGAGAAAAAACCAAGAACTGTCATTTGCGTATGATGTGCATGTGGTCTGCGTCCGGAATGCGTACTCCATGCGTATAGGGTGCGTACTTCACAAACCCACATAAAAACCTTCTTAATCGAATGGAATGAAGATTCAATGTTGACAAACCCTATATCCAACCCTCCCTAATTGTTGTATTGACGAGGCGAAGCATTCCAAAAATCTTTGATTCTCCATGTACTCTAATGAATGCTCAACCATTGAAGCATAACACCCACACTCTAGAACCATCACTTGTGTTGCACAAGGGTGAAAACAAACACTAACTCTCTTTGAGAAAAATTTTATAATCATTTTATAAATATGGTAAAATAAGTATTTAAAAGATTCATGACAAAGGAATGCATCGAATCAATTAAATTCGAATTAATTAAATTTTTTAAAGAAAAAACCAAGAACTGTCATTTGCGTATCCACTGCGTGTGGTATGCGTCCTAAGAGCGTAATATATGTGTATAGAGTGCGTTCTTCACAAACCCACATGAAAACCTTCTTAATCGAATGGAATGAAGGTTCAATTGTGAGAAACACTATATTCAACGCTCCCTGATTCTTGTATTCACGAGGCGAAGAATTACAAAAAACTTTGGTTCTCCATATACACTAATGAATGCTCAACCATTGAAGCATAATACCCACACTCTAGAACCATTACTTGTGTTTCACAAGGGTGAAAACAAACACTAAGTCTCTTTGAGAAATTTTTTATAATCCTTTTATAAAGATGGTAAAATAAGTATTTAAAAGATTCATGCCGAAGGAATGCATCAAATCAATTAAATTCGAATTAATTAGATTTTTTAAAGAAAAAATCAAGAACTGTCATTTGCGTATACACTGCGTGTGGTCTGCATCCTAAGAGCGTAATATATGCGTATATAGTGCGTACTTCAAAAACCCACATAAAAACCTTATTAATCGAATGGAATGAAGGTTCAATCGTGAGAAACACTATATTCAACGCTCCCTGATTCTTATATTCACGAGATGAAGAATTCCAAAAAACTTTGGTTCTCCATATACACTAAAGAATGCTCAACCATTGAAACATAATACCCACACTCTAGAACCATCATTTGTGTTTCACAAGGGTGAAAACAAACACTAAGTCTCTTTGAGAAATTTTTTATAATCCTTTTGTAAAGATGTTAAAATGAGTATTTAAAAGATTCATGTTGAAGGAATGCATCGAATCAATTAAATTCGAATTAATTAAATCTTTTAAAGAAAAAACCAAGATCTGTCATTTGCGTATGCACTGCGTGTGGTCTGTGTCCTAAGAGCGTAATATATGCGTATAGAGTGCGTACTTCACAAACCCACATGAAAACATTCTTAATCGAATGGAATGAAGGTTCAATCGTGAGAAACACTATATTCAACGCTCCCTGATTCTTGTATTCACGAGGCAAAGAATTCAAAAAAACTTTGGTTCTCCATATACACTAATGAATGCTCAACCATTGAAGCATAATATCCACACTCTAGAACCATCACTTGTGTTTCACAAGGGTGAAAACAAACACTAAGTCTCTTTGAGAACTTTTTTATAATCCTTTTATAAAGATGGTAAAATGAGTATTTAAAAGATTCATGCCGAAGAAATCCATCGAATCAATTAAATTCGAATTAATTAAATTTTTTTAAAGAAAAAACCAAGAACTGTCATTTGCGTATGCCTTGCGTGTGGTCTGCGTCCGAAGCGCGTAATCTATGCGTATAGAAAGCGTACTGTTGGAGTTGTTTTGAGAAACACTATATTCACGATACGAAGCATTCCAAACACCTTTAATTATACGAAAAAATACCAGTTATTTATGTAAATTTAAAATATGAAAAGTTCATTTCATTGAAGCACAAAACAGTCCATATGCGAATTATGCTCTATATTTTAGCATTTTTTCATGCCAATCCGTACTCTCTTTCCACTTGGAGTTATTTTGTCGAACAATATTCTCCATGTATTTGCAAACGAACATACTGCAATCTGTATTGTTGGTCTGAGTTGGCGCCTTCTTGATTGTCTTGAAACTCCATT